TTTTTTTTTTTGAGAGAGATCTTGCTCTGTTATAGCTTCAACCTCAAACTCCTGGGTTTGAGCCAGCCTCCTAGGTAACTGGGGCTGCAGGTGTGTGCCACCACTGCCAGCTAATTTTTCTATTTTTTGTAGAGATGGTGCTTTTGCTCAGGCTGGTCTCAAACTCCTGGCCTCGAGTGATCCATCTCAGGCCTCCCAAAGTGCTGGGATTACAGGCGTGAGCCACCACGCCCAGCCTGGTTTTTTATTTTTCTTGAGTGTTTTCCTGGTTGCTGTAAACTTTTGATTAGTTTTCAGAGTTCAAATAAAGTTGATTTTGACAAGTTTTGTAAGTTTATTATCCCCTTCTGTGGAGGGACAGGCTTTTGCAGTTCTGTGGTCTGCCATTTTTGCTGATGTCACTGTCACTATTAGACTTTTTGAGTTAATAATGACGAATTGTGGCAAAGGTGAAACTTAACTGCAGCCTTTATGTTTACCATGTTTTGGCCACTGCCATTGCAGTAAGTTTCATAATACTTTTAAGTGGTGTACAAAAGATGTGGGTCCAGAACTAGGCAGATTGCATTTTTTTGTTCATGTTTGTGATTATGAGAAACTGATTTGTATCTATTTCAAGTCAGGTTTTAAAGTGGCATCCTTTCATGTATCCTGAAGGACTTTTGGTCTACCAGTGACTCAGTGTGTTTCTAAATTACGTGAGACTGTTCCTCATTGCATAGCAAAATAGGGTTTGCTAACACCTGGATCTTGAAGCAGCAAAAATTAACATGACATCTTTTTTTTTTCCCCAGCATATTATGGGGGTACAGGTGTTTAGGTAACATGACATCTTTTTGTACTTGGAACTGGGCAAATCCTTGCTGCTGTGTTCATTAGACTGTACAGGATGTAGACACAGTGATATTCACAGGAGTCAGATGATAAAAACTTTGGTATACATGGAGTCAAACTTTTATTTTCTGTTTGAATGTCATAGATGTCATAAGCAAAACCAATATTTTAAATTCCTGCCTTATAAAGAGGTAAATCAGAGACATGATTATTTGCTTTGAAAACGTTTCCTTTTTGTAATTCATTTCTTAATTTAAAGATAGTTATGTTTGTTTGGTATGGTATAATTAACATATCAAAGTTCAGTTTACATATATCAGAACACATCTCCTGTACTATCAAGTGACATGCGTAAGATATTCACTATGTACAGTCCACAGCCTCTGTTTGCTTGTCCTTCCACATAGAATGGTCTGGTTACTTCTCACTGCTGTCAACTTGGATTCAGGAAATAACATCTAATTTTTATAATAATCTAAGCAGTTTTTTCCCCCAGTAAAAAGGCAACCTTGTCGAAAACAAATCTTTAAAAATATTCTAGAGACATAATGATAGTGAATAAGAGCTGGGGATTGGTAGTTTAATTGATCTAAAGCTTTTAGAATTTTCAGAGGTAATTAGATTTTTAAAAGGATCATTTAGTTTTTGAAACTTTAACCAGACTCAACTAAACAGTAACAGGATGAAAACAGGTGTTGCTAGCATGGAAGGAGCATAGTGTCATCTGTTTCTAGTTCTGTAATTGGAGAGACCCCACTGCCTGGCTGGCTCCTTGGAGGCTCTGTTTGGCTCAGCAGCTCCAGGCCTCCCACCAGGCAAAGGGAAGGAGAACAGGAAGGACTTACGTGCCTAGTCAGCCTGTATAATTTATATAGCCTGTTCTGTGACCCTCTCTTTTTACTAGTGGAGAATCCCTTAAAAGCAGCCAGAGTTGTTTTAGGACCAGTGAAAGGAAATGCCTCTTTTTCATGGCTACTTATAAACATGTGTAACCTATTACCTAAAGAAGTTACATAAGTCAGAATTTAAACTGGTACAAATGGTCAGGCTCTAACTAAAGAAGGAAAATTATTCTTCTACTTGGATCTAGGTGAGAGTGTCATTTTCCTTCTTTTAAAAATAGCACATAGAAAAAATTACAAAAGAAAAAAATAGCACAAAAATAACAAGCTTCTCACCAACTCATGCCAAGCGACATATTTTTTTTCCTGAATTTCATTTTTGTTGTAATTTTCCAGTCTGACTTGGCTCTTGAGTCTACCCTTTAGCCTTCCCCTCCAGTACCTGCCTTCCCCACCAGCTCGCTGCTGCTTGTTGTAGTTGTTTTTTAGTGAC